AAAAAAAAAAAAAAAAAAAAGTTAGAAGCCAGAAAAAAATGGGTATATGTTATGGTTTCAAAATCTCATAGTTTAATTTTTTTTTTTTATGACGAACCTGGGTTATTGCTTCTGAATTACAGTTTATGCACCCCTCAAGTTGCTGATGCTGATCTTGCCATTTTTAAGAAAGGGAGAAACGCATTTCTGTCAAGTGAAGTCAGGTTTAAAGATGGGTAATGAAGAAGGCTGACTGTCACAACAAGAATTTATGGGGAGTCAGTAAAGCAAACTGAGAAACACGAAGCATTTATTGTCCACTGGCAATATTGGTTTCCTGTTAAAATTGGCTATTTGACAAAGGTGATGAATTGAATTCCCTGCTCTCTCTTTGGGGAATTAGGAAGTTAACACGGGACAGAAGGAAAGAGCTTTCTGCTTTCTATGGAGAGTAAACTGATACTAGCCAAAGCTGAGCTTTAGAAGGTCTTCAGGAACTGCTATCAGGAATTTAGTGATAATCAAAACTGTACAAGTCTTTAGAAAGATTGGAACATTTGAGCGGTCCTGGAAGACAAGCCATCGTTCACCCACATATATCCTCATGTAAAAAGTTCAGTGAGTGCTTCTCTTGGATGCATTCTACGAAATAGCTGCAGGGCAATGTCTCATGAATCTCAGTACAGCTCAGTACCTGTCAGGAAGTGAGAATGAGACTGTGGGCTTTTTAAAGATCTCGTATTGACAGTGAATGTTTTGCAAGCTTAGATTGCTGAAAGGCTTGAAACTCATTATCTCCTTTAAAACCCTGTCAAATATTGTACATGTGATGAAGGATGAGGCATTATTTTACACTTCATATCAGTTTTTTTGCTTTCCTTTTAGAGCCCCTTCTGCTTTTAAGGGCTGCAAAAGCAAAATAGCTTCATAGCTGCTCAAACTTGCAGAGAAGTTATTTATTAGGTGCTATTTCAGACTCTGAGCTTGGACAGGCTGTGCTGTAATATTAACCTCCAAATTAGTTAGTAGTGCTGCTGAAGGATGTTTTCCAACATCTGTTTTTAGCACTGTTAGAATGGATCTTGGAGTATGTGTTAAGTACTTTTTGAATGGGGCCATACTGGAGATGAACTGCAGCGATTCTGCACGTGGATCAGAAAACACATTGTAGATGCCTATCACTGAAAGAAGTACCACATGCAAAAGCAGATGGATGCTGCTGAGCCTGATGCTTAAATAGCAGTATGGTGCAGTAGGCACTCTGAACTGTTGTAAAGAGGACTTTAAAGAACAGAATTCTAAAGGCAGAGACCCACTCACTGCATATTAAGAGAAATGACTTGAAGTCATCAGATTTGAATTTAGTCAGAGCTGCTGTATTATATACATTGTTAAGACCTTCTCTACAACTTGCCGAATGTTTAAATGGCACATCCATCCTAATGCAGATACAGACAGAGACAAGTTTATATCCTGCTTCTCAGTGTCCCAAACTAGCATGAAAGCTGCTGTTTTGGGGGATGTTAACTATTTAAAACTGTGACTATGCTTCCTTCTTTCTCTGTTTAGGCAAAATAGTTGGCCCTTTAAGTGAGACTGTCTCCCAGTAATCATCTATCATCTGGAGATTGTTGCTACCACTGCTTAGCCAGTAGAAAGCTCATGCCTACATAGGGAAAATGGAGCTCATTCCATTTTACAGTTTAAGTAGTTTGAACTGACCCAGTGAAGCTGCCTGAGAATCCTAGGATCTGCTTAGACAAAGGTGTGTATTTTGTTTATGTTGCTGTGATATCCTGTACCCCTCCATATGTTCACAAACCCTTCCAACAAAGAATAGTAAACATATACTCCAGTGATATGGACCTTGCACTGCAAATCTAACTTTACAGTGGCATTGCAGCTATCCGTACAAGCATATGTGCATTCAAATGCTAATTTGTCACCAAAACCAGTTTAGTTGATATTTCTCCCATGTTTGCTCAATGGAAAGTGTTTCATGAGATAATTCACTGGAATTAAAAGATGACTTTTCATATGATACTAAAGCTAGTCCTCAGTTTGTTGATCTTTTTTTAACAGCTATGATGTCTCTCAGCACATAATTTACCTAGAACTTTATCACCCTGTGAAAGTCTAACCAAAAAAAGTGCATCAAGAAGAATTCTCTGGCAGTTAAGACTTAACCTGGCATCTGGGGAAACTCTGTAAAGGACATGCTCTTCTAGCTTTTCACTGCTCAACAGACATTTCTGATGGAAATATTTATTTCTGATGGGAATCTCAAAATCGGACTGAGAGAGCAAGCGAGTTTGGAGGATGCATGTTTGCATTGAAACAGCACATCTATATTGTAATCTCTCTTTTTTTTTACCCCTAAACCTTCAGTATGCCTGAAAGCTTTCTGGTAACAGACCTTAGCTGTGGTTTACAGTTGGACTAGATGATCTTGTAGATCCTTTCCAACCTCGTTATTCTGTGATTCTGTGGGGATGCTTGCAAGCCCATCAGTTGCCACTTTGGAGCTTGAAGCAATGACATCCAGAGTGAATGTATGAATCGTAGCAACTAGTGTGAAAGAAACAGAATTGCCAGTTGAAAGCTATCACAAAAGCATACCCTCTGTGTATTGGACACAGATGTGTTGTATAACACGTTTTTTTGACCGGTGGGTTACACAAACAAAGTGTGTGACAAGTGACTGAAATGTGAAACGTGTACTTCGGTGATTCACTCCATAATTCACAGATTAGTATACTTTTAAGTACAATATCCCTTCTCAGAAAGTCTCATTGTGTGAGCAATATGAAACAGTACTTACTGCCTTGCCTGTCATGGTTATGTTCCTTGTCTCATTTGAGGTCTTTATTACAGGTTTTTAGCAACTACCTAGCTCGAGATAGTGTTTCCCCTTTTAGAATGGGACATAGCACAGCACTTCATTGGACTCCTCTTTTATTTTTACTCTCCAGAACTGCTAGAACTTCAAAGAGCCAAATTTAAAGGCCAATGACAGAAGTATAGAAAGCACTGTTAGAACTTAGAGGCAAGTACAACAAAACCCTAGGGAAGTTTATTTCAGAACCTCCCACATGTAAGGTGAAGCTGATGGGTATATTCGGAAAGGGGACTTCGCAATTGCAACATCCAGAACTCATCTTTAGTCAGCCTTGCCAGGCAGTTGTATCTGTGGCTGTGAAGGAGGAACTCAAGCTCCCAGTTTAGCCTATGAGGATGGTCAAGTACTTCTATGAATGCGAGCAACAGAAGTCAGCTTGTACTGCAGTCAGACTCCTAAGCTGGTCTTAATGACTTGCACATGTAAACAACAGAAATAATTTAACCTCTGAATTTCTCAGGATTCAACATCAAGGTTGGGGTAAAAGCTTGTCTGTGTTCAAGAATTCCTGTCCTCATTCTGGGTGCACCCTCATCCAGTCTGTCTAAACCTCTGGTGCATGACTAAATTGTAGGTGGGTAGCCCTAGTGGGAGGGAACACACTAGTGTGCTTAGGGTAGAGAGGTGCTGGTGTGTCTGAAGAGCTGAAGACCTCTCTGTCTGATACCATTGCCTACCTCTTGATTATCTCTAGAGCTTGAATGCTTCCAAAGATATCTGATCTACAAGGGGAGAGATAAAGAGCTTTCTCTGGCAAAGTAGGCCCAGTGGCTAGGATCACATGCCTCATGTAACAGAAAAAAAAATGCTTCCTCATTTCAGCTTTATTCTAAAATCTGTTCACTAAAAGAAGAAATTGAACAAAGCGCTGGCACTTACAGCCTCGAGTTCCTTGCCCTGCCTGACCAATTTCTCTGGAAAGGCTTTATCCCTTAGGAAATTCAATGTTATCTATTGGGGAAAATCAATAATTGTTTTTAGTGCTTTTTATTGTGACTATCCTGAGTGGCGATCAGGAGAGAGAAAGAGATCAGTAGGTTGGAAAACCATCCTAACATAACCTTAATCCAAACTCTTGCCCGAATCAGAGTATTATGAATTAAAGACAGTTGACTATTTTTTAAGTCTTAATTTGAATTTGAAAGTTTAACATTGTGTTAATATGCTACATGTGTTTCCTTAAAAAGTATTCAAAGTAAAGATCAGAACCTGTACCTACAGAGAGCTTCTGTGATACCCAAACTAATGAGTAATTTCAAGCAACTTAACATTTAACAATCAGATTTCAGAGTGCTGTGCTAGGGTGTGAAATTTAATGGGCTTTGGACTTTGTATTCTTCTAGGCTTCTGAAGATTGTAAAGAAAGAGTCAGAGTCACCAGGATGCTGCTCTTTACTGCTTTTTTTTTTTCTTTTCCCAGTTGTTTTGAACTCAGACTTTTTTAAAAGGTGTCCCCAAAGTAATTCTTCCTGACATTGAAGCGTTCAACTTGGTGAAAATATCTCAGTCTTCATCTAAACCAAAAACTAAGAAAATGTTGAAAGAGTTGTTAACATGGTGATTTTATTGCCTCCAATAAGAGAAACCAGAAGAAAGTTAGAGGAAAGAAAATGCTATTACTGGCACTCCTTGTGGAAGGGCAAAAAACATTTTAGAGTATTTATGTACCAAAATCATTGAATAATAAATGATATAAATCAGATGCTAATATTAAAAGTTCCAACTTGCAAAGATTTGTACATATGCTTAAAAATACATATTTGAATAATGTATTGATTATGTTTAGTTATTAGAAAGCCTTTACAGACTAGATACTGGCTTAAAAATAATGTGGAGATATAAGGAGAAAGATACCACAGAACTATGGTTGGCTCTGAAACAGCAATCAGTTATCTGCCAAAATCACACATAAGTTCTCTGTTCCACATCCTGTGTTTGGAGAGTTTTACATATAAAGATGTCAGGACTAAGGCTGTTGTAACAAACTGTAAGAAATGGAATGCCTCCATTTGTGGAGATGTGTATTTATCTGTGGTAAATAATGTGTATAATCTGCTACTTACAAACAATTACAAATAATACTTGCTGATAGTGATGCATTTTTGTGTTTGTTATTTTCCAGATGGGAGTTGCTGTAGTGGATTCATCTGTTGCAGGTTTGGGTGGCTGTCCCTATGCAAAAGGTGCTACTGGAAATGTGGCCACAGAGGATGTTGTATATATGCTTAATGGTCTGGGGATCAATACAGTAAGTTATCTTGACTTTGTATTTAAGACTTTAAAGCATACTGAACAATGATGCTGTGCAGTAAAATATTGGAAGCAAATGGTAGTTTTTTGCCAAGGCAGTGTTTTAACGTGGCTTGTCAAAACTTGAATGATGTTCATGAGCAATCTAAATCAGAACTGTATTTGGCAGGGATTTGGATAAACTCTATTTCCTTACCTTGGAGATATGAGGAGCACAGTAGCAAATGCTTAGAGTCATTCTATTGCCTCAAGTAAGATAGTTTGGTTAGGTCGTGGTTGGACTCGATGATCTTTAAGGTCTTTTCCAACCTGAGCGATTCTATCATTCTATGATAGCGAATTTTTACTAATTTAAGCTATGCAATGATTTTACCTTGAACTTAGACAAGAAGGAGCTGACAAAACTGTAATGTCTGTGGCTTGCATTTAAACCACTTCAAGAAGAGCTTGAAGTCTGACGTCTGCCACGCAAAGATCTAAGTTAAAGGATTTGTCTATTGAAGTTCAGTATGGCGTTCTTTCTAACAGAATTGCTTGACATAATAGGATCATGGTACTTCCTTCTGAAATTAACATCCTCTAAGCATTGTAAAATCATATTCTGTGCCTTACAGAGTTCACTGTAATGATCACCTACTTCCATGTGCTTCTTAGGGTGTTCTGGTTAGGTGTTGCATACCTGTTCAGAAAAGTTTTAATCTCAAGTGTCTGTTGTACAAGTGGACTCAGTTTTGAATTGTTCATAGCTGATTTGGGGTGACTTTTTCATGAAGAAGGTGCACATTCTTTTAAAATAACAGTTTGAATGAGGAGAAACCATGCATTTTAGTTTACATTGCTGTGTACGCTTAAACAGTCTTTCAGAATATTCTTTGTCTGGGGAGAATACCCACTGACTTTTCCAACTGACTCCCAGCAAAAGAAATCAATTGAATAAAAATACCCTAACTGAAAGAAATGTACCTTGTTCCAGTCTGGTTGATAAGATTTACTAGTCTATGAAAGATGTGGAATCTAGCTTATTCTAAAGGCTAATGCCAAATCCCATGAAGATAAATATCTCATCCTCAAACATTTCATGCTCTTTTTTTTTAATTTTAAATTGTGAAATAGCAAAGCACAAGGCTTTGCTTCTTGACTCTTTTCTGGCCCATTAAAAAGAGAGTGGTTTACTGGATGAGAGACAAATCTGTGGATGTAGACAGAGTTTCAAAATTCTTATTTTAGTATATGAGCTTTGTTCTTTGCAGTCTTTGTTGGTTTTTGTACCATGGTAAAATAATCATTGAAAAAAATCTATTAATATGTCTCTTTTTGTATGATGGTATACAAATGAAATTATAATTACTAATGCCGTCCATTTGCAGAGCTCCTTCTCTTGTTCCTTTCAGTGATGCACTAAAGCACTAGTTTTGTTGACTAAAGTCATGTAAAGTGTCAGCCAAAGGATGGGCAACATTTAAGTGCATATTACTGTGTTCAGATTGACTAGATACATCAGAATAATAATTAATATTTTCTATATACTGTTCTTCACATTGCCTAACCAAGAAATGATACGTGAAATAAATCTCTAGAAGGATAAATGTGAAATTTACAGCATAGTCTATCTACAACTGATTGGTTGTACCATAGTAAATGGACAGAAAATAATGTCATAGATCATTCATGCTCATGAAGGGGAGCAGATGGGCTGACGTCAATCTACTCTCTGTTGACCAGCGATAGAACCCAAGGGAAAGGCATGGAACTGCATCAGGGGAGGTTCAGACTGGATATCAGGAAAAGGTTCTTCACTTGGGGGTGATCAGGCACTGGAAAAACCTCCTCAGAGCAGTTATAGGGTCATGGCACCAAATTTGACAGAGTTCAAGGAGCATTTGAACAGCGCTCTCAGATGTATGATTTTTGGGTGGTCCTTTTGTGGAGCCAGGAGTTGGATGCAGTGATCCTAATGGATCCCGTCCAACTTGGGATATTCTATGATTCTAAACTTTATAGGAGCCCTATAAAGTTTAGACAATTTCTGTATGGTTCCTGTGTAATTATAGTAAACAGTACTTGTGCTTACAATGCCTCTGAAGTTTGGTTAGCAAACAATAAGCCTTTCTCAGAAGTGACTAAATACTGTTACCCTCATATCCTGACAATGAAACCGAAGTTCATACAGATAATAGACTTGGTATTTATGAGTGCTGAATGAGAACCACTTAATTGAACTCAGCAAGAGTTAAAGAACTGTGCTTTTTGGCAGATGCTTTTCTGATGGAAGTGACTTTTTCATGCTCATCTATGCTATTGGAGAAACTTGTTTCTGTGTTTCATGGTAGCATAGAATAATTCTGAATATACGAAATGCTTACCAAATACACCTGAGTACATGTCTGAGCATCTATCTGAAGACATTATTTTGACTCAACAACGTTACAAATATCTGTCACTGCTCTTTTCCTACATCCATCTGTGAGCTATGCTTTTAGATGCTGGGATTTGTGCCTTCACGGTAATCCACTTGGGTTCATGACACATGAGAGTGACAATTTAAAAGGCAGATATGCTTGTGTTCCATTTAGTGATTATGAAATGTAAATATGTTCCTTATCAACATGTATCATGTTATTCAGTGTTACAGTGCTGAAAATGTGATTTTTGTATAGTTATGTTTTCTTATTTTGGCATCTTACATAACCTAGCCACTAAGTATGTCTGTGGTGGAATGTACCTTGCTTCTTCCTAATAAAAAGCACAGATGCTCTTAAGAATTTTGAGACTGTTATGTACAATAGTATTCTACAAACTAAAGCTGGGAAATGACCAAAGAAATAAAAACAGAATGAGCTGAAATTACCCTTGTTATAACTCTTTAAAAATTAACAATAAGTTTGAGGTGGTGCTGATTAGTATTGGAAATTAGTCTTTTTTTTAATTATTTTTTCAAATTAAAAATGTTTTGATTCCATTTTTGTGAAGTATTTCCTGTACTCACTAACATTTGTAGCCAACTCCAAGAGCATAAAAGACTAAGTTTTAGTGTAGAACGTGGAAGTATCTTTTAAAAATTCTAAGCAACTAAATGAGGTTTTGGTATAAAGTGCAATATTATGAGAATGTCTTTTTGGTGTAATAAGTCTTGCACTCTTTAGTGCTGACTGACACACTACTCCCAGTTTTGTGTAGCTACTTAGTGTATTGGCAGTTGAATGTCTTGTTTTGCATCCCTTCTGTTGGCTTTACTGGTTTCTAATTCCCAGTCTTCAGTGCAAGAGCTTGAATTATTTATACAATCTAACTCTAAAACTTCAAGTGTACATGAGTTGCTCAAGAGACCATTTTAGCTAGGACCGATCTAGCAGCTGCAGGTTTTTGCTCAGTTGGGTTACCAGTGTAAACTGCAATTTTGCACTGAGGGGAACTTTTTCAAGAAGGCTTTATTTGTTCAAGAGAATGCAGAATCCTGTTTCTCACTGATGTTATTTGCCAATAGATTTCCTCCATTTTCCTGAAATGCAGATGGAATACTTACAAACATCAAGTTTTTCAGCGCTTGACGATAAGCAATTGCAGCACATATTTAGACAATGTATTTTTCTTCCAACTTCTAGTTATTATTCTGATTCTTTATTCCAGATTCTTTTGTGTTCGAAATTTATTACTATAGTATTTGGTTCACTACCATTAGAGTAAGAGATCACCCTGATAGTGGTAGAACTTCCCACCAACAGGAAGCTGTGATTGTTGTGCAAGTCACCACAACTTTACTGAGCTCCATTAATGACTTATGAGTCAGACCCTTTCCAAAAATTAGACCCTGGAGCAAAATAAGATGACATTTAAGCATTTCCAGTGTGTGTGCTTTTATTATTATTAATGATTTTTACTTCTATTTTTCAGGGAGTCAATCTTTATACCGTGATGGAAGCTGGAAACTTCATCTGTACAGCTTTGAACAAGAAAACAAATTCAAAGGTTGCACAAGCTTCCTTCAATTCTAGAACTATCAAGTAAACGGATTTTCTTTGCAATTACATTTGTCATCTACCTTGACCAAGGACACATATATCAAGAAACCAAATATAAGAAAACCATTTCAGCAAAGAACTAAAATAGAAACCAGATATAACTTTCTGTTATGGAAAGAGTTTCCATACTGTAGCGTCTTGTTGAAAATTGTCTTATAAATAAGTATGAAATAAATGACTGTCATAAAGAATGATATGTTTGGTACTTACACAGGTGAGAAAACTGTATAAACAGCAGGTCATTTTATCATGCTTTAAGTTGAATTTTGTTTTTTGAGTTTTTTTCGGTTGAACTGGTTGGAAACAGTGAATACATAGTTAACTTTTAATCAAGATGACTTTTAGAGCAATACAAATATTTGCAGTAGTTAATGAGATCCCACAATGTGTGTGGCCATTCTCTTATGTGTTTTATTTATCTGAGTCTATATTTTTCGTTTGTCAACTCAGTTCTGTTATGAACACAGATCCAGATCAAAATTCACCGTAAGAAATTTTTAGATACAGCACTTTTGTTATTGTGTTTTGTTTAACATCTGTTAAATATATGGATGACTTTATCTTGTTCCAAGACTTTATGGTTAATGGCAGCCTTCCAGATCCTCCAAATCTGATGCAAATTTTCTTATTTGCTACATATGTTAAATTTGTTGTAGTTGCTTTTTTTTTTTTTTTTTTTTTTTTTGTCAACTGTGTTAAAACCTAATTATATTAAGCAATTAGAAACTGGCAAGATTTTCAACTGTCATTCAGGGTAGTAGTAATATAGAATGGGCAAAAATTTTGTCCATGGTCTCATTAAACAACTGGACTTTTTCTTCTGTATTCTATGAGTTGACATTTTCCATTAATTTCTGAGGATATTACTACTCAGTTGGACTTGCTTACACAGTGAGAAGCATCTGTAATATTTCTCTGTGCTCTTGTGATGGTGATACTTTACTGTTAAGATGTCCTAGTTCAGCAAGATGCTAGTGAACTGCTTTGTCATTTTTAGATCTATAACTGACAAAAGCAAAGAAAAGCCTTATATCTATAAACTGTTGAAATGCTCCATGAAAATATTGTCCTTTTTCAATTTGAAACATCAGTACTGTTACTGATTTTGTGTATATTTTTTCAGAATTCTTTCAGAATATTTAACAATTTTTTTATCAGTAAAGTTTCCCCTTTCAGTCTGTTTCTGTGTGTACACAGTATAAGCTCATTTTAGGCTAAAGTGCCCAGTTCTGATGCAGACTGGTGAGTGTTTTGCATCCAAGATCCTGTGAGCAAGACTGAGCTCCTCGAAGATTGAAAGTGAAGTCACAGTTGGGAAAAAAAAAGTAGTTTTTCTGCAAACCCCTTTTAAAAATTGGCCTGAAATTCAGACTAAACCACTGATGAGAGGTGAAGATCAGCCTGAGGAGATTCAAATACACTTTCTTTGGGGATGCCCTAACCAGTGAATCTAACCACTGGGATGAAAAAGAACATACTTCCTAACCAATCTGAATTTGTGTCACTGTCCAGGAAGGAATTCAGGATTCCTGAGACCAGAAAGATGACGAAGAAAAAAGCGGAAAAGGTGTTGTTTTTTTTCTTTCAAGACGATGATGAGATCATTAATTGTAGGCCAGTTTGGGAATTGAATTGTCCACTTGTTCAGTAACTAACCAACTATGAATTTCTTAAATAAAAGTGGTTGGTTGCACTGCTATCACAACTTCTGTGTCAAATAAAATATCTATGCAGCATATAGAGTATAGATTAGAAGAGCTATCTCTGCTCAGTTCTCTGAAAGTTCTAGACATCCATATCATAACTCCCTAGAAGAATTCCTGACTTGGGCTCTAAGAGACCTTTAAACCCTGGAGGTTTGCAGATATGTCCTAGTGTGTAGTGCACTGCAGGCTTTTCAGCAACCAGCCTGCTTGGTTTAGAGTTCTAAGGCTCTGAACTCTCCCTCTATGCACTGAAACAGGGTACCTATTACATTGTGGGAATGAAAAACCTGAAGTCATAGAATCATAGAATAACCTAAAATGCCTTAGTTCTTTGCAGGTTTTGCTTTAGAAACAACTTAGGAGCTTTTGAAGAGTCTTGAATGCAGGTCTTTTGCTCTTCAGTGATGTGAGCGCTGGAAAAGATGAGCAATCACATCTGGAGCCCGTACTTCACCCACACGTTCATCTTCAACCACGTAGTGAGTTATAGTAATCCAGGGTGGAGGTCACAGACATATAGATTGTTTGTCAGGATCGTTTTAAAGGAGAAAGAAACACAGAGCCAGATTAAAAAATAATGAATGCTTATTTGCCAGAAGTGCCACCTGGGATGAATTTAAGCCTGGGTCCAGGTGAACAATCCCAACAATACCCTGAGATTTGTTAGACATCTCATGTTTGTGCTGCTGAAGTTTGTTGGGCACATAATGTTCTGCTGCTTGCTTTCCTGGGCTGGCATCCCTTTGACTGAGAGAGCATTTTAATGCCTACTCTTTGGCTTCAGAAAATAGACATACATCAACCTTAAGATCAAGGACTAATCTGGCCGTTACTCACATAGATAACACTGACTTCAACACAGCATAGTAAAGCAGTCGAGACTGCATCCCTTCAAAACACAGCAGAAGCAGCATGCATTGTGATAATGCTACTAAATCTAAATCCTTATGCTACCATTCAGAGTGATTGACCACCAGTGGTGGCTGCTCTTCTAGTCCCTATCAGCATCTCCCATTGAGTTCACTTCACCCTAAAGTAACTCCTTGTGGAAGGCTTGACTGCAGGTGTTCTGTTTCCCTGTTGTGCAGCCCTATTCCTATTTGTGACCCAATTATTATGTCGTTATAAAAATTATGTATTTGTTGAAAGCTATAAAGAAAAAGCAACAAAGTGCTGAATATCATGATCACACAGTTAGAATGTGGGGATATGCTGCCTCTCCGTCTGTTTTGGTGATGCTCCTATATAAATGCTGAAAAGGGGAGAGTGTAAACTCTTGGCATCTGCAGAGGAGAAAAGCTCCTCCTCCACACTGACTGCTCTCTGTGATTTTTACCAGAGCCACATTACATGTTCCAATATATTTATTTCTGTTCTTTGAAAACTGTCTTCTTCTGTGGGCCACTGGATCGAAATCACTACAAAGATCTTCTGGAACAACATGGAGGTCATTTTATTTGTGCTGGGGCCATGGAGTATGTAACTGGAATATCCAGGGCAGTCTTTGGTCAGTGGCCTTCTCTGAGACTGTGAAGGTTTGACAGATGACCGATGTTGCATTGCTGAACTTCCTTTAATACTTCCACAGTAGTTTTCCTTCTTTCCATGTTGTTGGCAATGACTAGAAAGTGAAATACTGGCTCTTGAAAGGTCAAGATACTCTATTCTAAAGGTATGGCTTGTACATGTTTCTGGAGAAGTTGATTAGTTCCACTAGTAATGGGCATAGTTCTTCACTGGGCAGCAGTGTCATGGATCCCTTACATGGGCAGTGCTAATGTCTTCCAGCAGCAGCTTGCTTTGTAGTTTATTTGCAGCTTTTATGTATTTGGGCAACTTGGCTCTGGACCAGCACTTTAATGTTTTATTTTCATGTGTAGCCAGAGTTTATGGGACAAAGAAGTGAATATTCTGGTCTTGTGAATAAGTCCAGAGAAGCTTCGGCTAATTTTCCCTTCTTAATAGCATCATTTGAGTTCATAAAACTTTTACTATTGTAATAAGGAGACACAGAATGAAGACTGAAAGTCTGTGAGGTAAAATTTGCTTTTTGGGATCAGCACTGTTGAAATGAAATAATCTTCATCCAAGGGTTTAGTGTGAATGTATGAGATACGACTATTTTTTCAGAGTTACTTTTAAGCGGTAGAAATATTGCTTAGATATGATGCTAAATATCTGAAAATTAGAATTCCGTGGCATTGAGTTTTATATTATTTCTCAGGCTGCCGTAAGTTCTTTTTTAAAAATAAAAGGTTCATGTCCTGTTCATATAATATTATCAGGATAACTGTTTCTCTAGATCCAAGATGTATGCGGAAGTGGATAAATGTAAAAATCAGTCTTGAGAACTGAACGAAAGACACACTTCCTTTCAGTTCTTACTGATAAATCTTTTTCTACTAAGATGCGTTTTTGAACATTATTTTTCTCTAAGGTTCTTCTTTAACACAGTGTTGGTATTCAGTGCTACAGTGTCACCACAAGCAGAAGAAATAAAGCCAAATTCAGCTTAGTCCCTCAAAGCTGATGTAAAATGGTGATGCGTTTGTTAAGGAATCAGCATGTACCCTCCTGGTTATATCCATTGGTGATTTTGCAATGTGTGATGTGAAAGATGAAACAAAGTCTTTCTCGGTGTTTATTGAAAGTGATAACACTCATCTATTATGCCAGATTCAGCAGCTCTGATTTAGCAGCTCACACGTATGGCATTAGCAAATACGAGCTGTCCCTCTGACATGTCCTCCTGTGTTGACTTTGTTGCCTCGTAATCTATTTGAAGTACATTTTCTTGGATTTACCTTTTTTATCAGTTGTCCCCGTGTGCTTTTATAGCTGACAAATCTCTTCTAAGTAACTAGGAAAACATTTTTTCCCTCCATTAACTGAACATTAAAAGCTACAGGCAGTAATGGAGGTACAACTTGAAAATTCAATGAGGCTTCATCCAGCTTTAGATGTTCCCCCACAAAGAAGAAATCTCTGCCCTGTAAATGGTGTCAGAGACTCTCTGTACAACTCATGGGAGATGGGACAGCTTCAACATCTGGTCTGAAATGTCAGCATGTTGACTGGGGAATATTCTTGGAAAAAAATTGCAGTAAATATCCTAACCCGTGGCACTGAGCTGCCTCAACCTGAGCTGCAGACATTTGTCTTCACCAGTTTGAATCCAACAGTAAAAGACTCCTGTTATAATTTTTTAAAAGAACAGAATGGTGTTCACTCTTTTAAGGCACTGTGCTGGGGATGTTGATGGTCCTGCTTGCATTTGTCATCTGTGTTAGTAGGCTATGATTGCCACAGCTTGAGAGGGTTGTCCCTCTAAAAAGTAAATCCTCTCATCTCATAAGCAATTGGAGTAGCTGAAGAAAATCTTCCTTTTGAAGAATTTAGGACTCACTATGGTAAGACAAGAGAAGTGTGGACTTTGAATTTTAGGCTTTATATCTTCAGCACTGCACAAAGAACCAAAACCTGTATGTCTCAAAGACTCTACATTTAATTTGAAGCAATCTTTAGATAAACTGCATAAATGATATTGAAAACAAAAACTGACATACAGTATTCCCTGTTTCAAATAAGAATAAGACTAAAATTTATGCTTTCTCTCTAACCTGGTTATTCTTCATTTCTTTACTGTGCAATGTCCCGGCTCCAATGGAAGGGAGGCAAATCATGTGTCCTTACCCAAAATGAACATGGAATACCGAGTCATCAAAGAGACATAAATGTGGGCTTTATTTTCCTCGGCAGATGGTACAGATGTCTCACTTCAGATAAAAAGTTTTTAATGATGAGGCTGTTAGAAAAGATAATACTTCATCAAGACCCATCCACGTGCTTTCCTGTGCAACCTCTTGTAGGGAGCCTTCTTTAGCGGGGGTTTGACCTAGCCCCTGTGATTCTGTCATGAAGCTAATCTACAGGGCATATGATATTGTTGGGTGTTTCCTAATCGTATTTGGGACAAAAGTGGCAAGACTGGAGATACTGCTCTTAAAAAAATGCTGACTGAACTATAACTGTATTTGTGTAGTTGGTGCTGTGCTGCGCAGTGCTTCTTTATTCAATAAGTAGTTAGAGTCTAATCATGGTTCTTGAATACAGATTATGACAGCAGAGATTCCTTTATTTAATAGTTAACGCTTACATACAACTGACAGAATATAGTGCCACTATGAAATATAAATCAAAGAAATTGTGATACAGGTACACGTTACATGTTGTAATGGAGGAAATTTACTTTTCTTTTAAGCATTAAAGTTAGTTCTAATGAACAGAGCACATCAAATTCCACATATACAGTACGTACACAGTATCCACTCAATATCTTGCAGTCTTTCAGAATAACCCACATGCTTACTCCAGTTTCAAATGCATTTTACGTACTCCTGTGTGTGAGAGTTTGTGTGTCTAAGCACACGTATGAAGAGTTCCTAACATCTTAGTATAAGCTAATTAGAAAATTGTGTTGGATATTATCATGAAAAGATAAGATATATGCTGCTTGTGGTGATAGCAAAACAAGAAATGCCAGTCTGTTACTTTGTGCTGATCAGAACCTGATTGTTACAAAAACACAACAAAGATAATCAATTTCTAGTGAACAGAAGCTTAGTCTAATGAAACAACTCAGCTACAAGGAGAAATCCAGAACTCATCACCACAAAGTGGGATCCAGAATGGTGTGTTAGGGACCATGACTCCCAGTACAGTGCACAGGGAGAATTAGGCACTTCGAGTATGGCCTAGAGACAATGAATATGAAACAGGGATGGAGAGGTTGTATCTGATCTCTCAAGAAACAGGCATTTTACTTCATCCCCCATCAAGTGTTTTTTTGCCACTGGGAATTCAGACCACAGAATGTTTTCTAAAATTGTTGTTTTCAGACTGGCAAAGTTCTTTCATGTCTTTCTGAAGCATCTTGGAAAGGAAGGAATAACCAGTTTCAACAACAACGTGCTAGTCAAAACATCCACCCAGGCACCCAGTTTAATTCCTCTTCGCACTGACAGAGGCTGTAATCCTGATCTTCCTCTACCCTACTGAGTGCTCCACAATCAAACTGCAGGCCACCTTCCCATGTGTGCTGCCTCATAGAAAGCCCATTGGGTACATAGAGGAAACCTGGAGTCCTAAATCCCCACATATATGCTTTCTAACTGCTCTCTGAAATGTTTCCGAGTGGATCTTTTTCCTTTCTGCCTGATAAATTCACATCTGTAGAGTGGCTCTCGTAGTTTGCTCCACAAGACACATTGCAAAGCCAGACTCGTGCTGATACAGCATTAAAATCAGTCACGTGAGTCTGAGGATATAGCAAATGTATATCTCAGGACAGATCTATGAATCTACGCAAAAATATGCTTGTTTGTTGTTTTTTTTTTAGCTTGTGAAAGTTTTAATGTGTTAATAAATAGAAAAATCTTCTCTATGCACAACTACAAAATTACGTAATTTATAGTAAGTTTTCTATTATATATTTTATTACCGCATATGTACAACAGGCTGGCTTTCAAGAGTAGCCTTAAAAAGCATAAGCAACAAAGTAATTCATCTGTGACTTTTATAATGGACCATAAATGTTTCAGAAGAATGATCTGGTGAGGGACTTCTTGACTCGTGTTTTGTTCTGCAGGCTCTGAAAACAAAGAATGTGCATGTATTTAACTATAAACTATACGGCTTTTGGTTTGAACTTTGGCTTAATTGAAATCAGTGGCAAAATTCCCCTCTTTTCATGATGAACTTTGTGGTATAAAGTAATTCCCTTCACCATTATTAATGTGCTGTTCTTTCTTCCATCCCCTGTATTCTTTAAATCTGAGTTTTATTTATATGCTGATATTCCTGTAACTGCAAACCTAAAGGCCTCTGTGCCCATATATCCTTGAATTGCCTTTTGCATTTTTCTACACGATTCCTCTTTGATCTGCCTCTGAATTTAATAATGAAATTCGACTCAATATCCCCCCCACTATATATAGCTCCTGCTACATCATGTTCTGTTACCTATCATCTGACAGTGTAATTCTTGAAATCTGGCCATTTAATTTGGTCCAAGAAAATGTATCATTTAAGAAAAGGCCATGTTCATTTGATTAAGTGAATGCACATTTCTGTTTTCTTACCAAGCACTGGCATATGGGCAGCATTTCATACTGTGTGTGGGAATGTTTACAGAATCCTATCAGCAAAAATGGTATTTGGCAAGAATATTAACTACAATAGCAGCATTCACAGTTCTGTTTCTAAATATGTTATAATGCTGAATATTCTCATTTCCTTTCTGCACTTCCTCTGCCTTCTACGGGGCTAGGAAGGTAGCCTTGCAGAATTTTTGAATTCAGATTTCACCTTCCCCTGCCATGGGACAGGAAATGAAACCTCCTAAAGCCTGAGATCTCCGTATGAATGGAGGGCATTGTAGATATGCATCATGTTTCACATCTTCCCGCTGACACCCGCAATGTCAGTTCTTTCCATCACTGGGATATGCTGGACTGTTTTTAAAAGACAGTCACAGTGCCAATTCTCAACTAAATCAAAACATTTTATTTTCTGCTTTTCCAATTTCCTAGAACCAAAGATTAATGCTCCTATCAAATTACCTGATCTTTAGGAGAGTCAACAGGACTATTCCTAGGATGAGAACTATGCAGGAGGAATAGGCAATAATGTAGACTGTTTCACCTACAAGCCAAAACCAGAAAGCAGACAAGAAACATTCTTCAGTGACAAGAATCAGGTTTGAGATCTGAATTGGAACACATGCATTTGCACACTGAATTAGCAATCAGTTCTGATGCCAGTAATTAAAAGGAGATTGTATGCCAACGGTGGGAGTTACTCCTGCTTCACCAGCTGGTGCAAAATCATTTTCAGACTTCTAGTAAACACCAGCTCCAATAGCACTTCACGTGTGTAGCACTACCTTTTACTCTACCCCGGGGAAACTGCAACAGCTTGTTAGTCTGATTTGTGTTTTGGAGTATTTTCCCTGTTGATTTTAAGATGTCAGTTTTATTCGGTGTATTGGAGGAGATCTGGCTCTTAAATATCTGCCTGGCCTCTTTTTCTTTTTCACATATTACCATAATTGCAGTGTGAAGCAATACTCAGTCTAGAATCAAATTAAAGTAAAATGGGATCTAACATTGTGTTTCTGGGCCCCGTGCCCATGGAGTTTCCTCTTACTCTTAGACTTCTCACCAAGAAATCACTTAGGCAGCTTATGTGCTAAAAATTCTGACTGTTGAAAAACTGGGAATTGTTTCAACTGTTATTTTCCAAAAGAGGGGAAACTTGTTTTTCCTGATGGAGTGAATGTATCACTTTTGATCAAATATTCCGAAGGGAAAATATTTGGCTCAGAAGGAAACATAATGTGCCATCAAGATGTGCAGAGGTTCAACAACAAAAGGACCCAAATCAAGAGCCACAGGAATAAAAATGAGACCCTTCTACTTGCCTATTGCAAGATGTTCACGATGAGATCATGCTAAAAGCCATATATTTTCTCCTGCCTTCTGAGAAGCATGGGAATTTGTAAAGCTGGGACAGGGCACAGTTTTGTGGCTGAAGTGACAATTCTTCATTTTATATTTTCATTCTATATATTCTTTGTTTTCTAAATACTTGAATGTGCCTATTTATCTTCCCTTAAAAATGTTGTAGGTTGTCTGTTTCTTGATAGGCATCCTACTTGTCTAAAAATGCAAGGAATGTTTTATGTTAATTTTCACTATTAATCTGTCTCCATCCAGTTCTCAAAATGTGAAATACTGCTAGGGGAGTTAGAAAATATAGATATGAAATTTTGGCTCTGTTCATCCCAAATCCCATCCATGAAAACTACCAGAATACACATGCAAGTTCCTGTATGACATGATGGTCTGTGTGATTCCATTTTTCTCATCTGAATATGATCTTAGCAAAGATTTAAGGCTTGAAACCAGTACCTAAACAAACATCAAGAACACTAACTGAAATTAAGCCCATTTGTAGTTATGGGTCTGTAAACAATCTTAGCTCACATGCTGTGCCCCTGTTCACATTTCACTGGATAGCAGACATCACAGTGATTAAAAACATGATTAAAAGTTCAAACACTTTCCTACTCCTAGCAGGATAGCAAATAAAAAATGCAGTGTACACAGGTCACATCATGACTGGGTTCTAAGAAGTAGCTGTCTACTTTAGTGCTTCTCTTCAGCAGACTGAGGTGCAAAAGAAGAGATCTTGTCTGAGTTATCTGGCTGGATGGAGAGAGGGATGCAAATATCTGTGTGCCTTGTGAAGACTGAAAGGCACACACGATGTGCAAAGACACAGTGCAGTACAAAGCAACTGTAAGATGCAGAATAAAAGGGCGCAAGAGGAGACAAGACATTCCCATTTCTATAGTGTAAGGTACTGAACTGTACCAGCTTATGAAGCTGTCTCACGCTCATGAGAATTTGGTAAAGCAGCTTAGGGACAAGTCTATGGCAAGGCTGCCATGGCTTTGGGATAAATGTCTTGCCTTTCCTTGGATGGACTACAAACCTCAGGAATACGACAGCTGTAGTGCTAGTAGGAGCTGCCTATATAGAAATACAGACACTGCAGTGACAAAGTTTGCAATAGGACAGCTGTGGGCTCATCAGCTGAAACAATTAGTGGCATCAGTCTCCTGTGTAAATCTACATGTGTATGGAGTGAGAGAACTGTGAATATTCATTAGATAAATTAACTCTGGCTGGTGCTCTAAGGTTTCTTGGCTAACTGCAGGCCATTGCAGGCTGTCTTCTACATTTATAAAACAATGAGATTGACAGTGTTTCATGCCTTACAAATTAAAATTGCTGGAGAGGAACTAATCTCAGTTCTCACAGCATCCAGTATAATTGTAAATAAATCCTGCCAATTACATGTTTATCTAGATTCTCAGCACAGCAAAACTTGGTACTAAATATCTGAAAACTCTACAATTTAGGAGGAAAATGAGATTAATTCCAAGAATCTTGGGTCATGCCCAATTTTACTGTATCTGACAAGAAGCAGAGAAGAGTTGTGTATTCCTAGCTTTTTCTTCCATTCAAAAAATGTTCCAGCTCCAAAGCTGATGAAAGTGAATGTTTATCTTCATGCATGATTCATTTTTAAAATTAAGGTGTAGGAAGCAATCTTTTTAAATTATTTGAATCTGCAAAATCATGGAGATGATTTGCATAGGATGAAGTCAGAACAGGCTGAAAGTGGGTAACTACATGGGCAATAACAGCATTTTTTGAGGTTTGGAGAGCTTTTGTTTAGTTTGTCACTTGATTTTTGTACTATGACATAAGATTCTGGTCCCATTTAAACTTGCAGGAAAAGTCTCATCAACTTTGTAAACAATCAGGCCTCTGCTTACATCACACTGTTTTAACTGGGACAAATCAACCCACAGGTTGTCATGTATCCTCCTGGGTATATGACTGAGTGAAAATCCTGTTAAGAATTTTAAACAGTCCTGTTTTTCATGGCAAACCAAAGGGCAAAAGGCAGAGAACTTCATCTTTTACACCTTCTTTTCGTGATATCTTGTGGTTCAATATTCCTGACACAAGCCAATTTCTTGTGTGGCAGATCTCACTGAGCTAAACACAGTAGCGAGGGTGACCTCTATCATCACCCTTATGCCACCTGGGCCAATGGTTGCCAAAGTACTTTAGATATCTAATCCTGTTTTCAAACATCACAACCTAATTTAGGAGGCTAAGGTCATTGATATACGTCATGCCAGGCTGTAAAATGTTACCGTTACCTCTACATTATGTAGCAGCTTCTCTGCAGCAGCATTTTATACATACTATTCTCCTTTTCTCAGTAAGAGATGGATTAAGTTGAATTTTATTGCAGGCTAGGAACGTGCATTTGTACAGTCACCAAGGGTCAATTTGTCCACAGCAAGTGGTTAGCTCTTGATTATGGAGTTGTGCATTTGAACTACTTTGGACCTAAGATATCTGGCTACTGCATTCACAGCAAAGCATCTTTGCTTACACCCAAATGGCATAATTCCCAATGAAGAGGGTCATATTCATTTGTACATATGTTGGTATATATGCCTATACTTATTATTTGTTAGGAAGCACTCCTTTTATTAAAAATTACTCAATTATCCAAGGATGGACAGTACTGTGTAAACCAGGAAAGTTTTTTTGAACTCTTTTTTGAGCAGTAACTTTTTTGAGATAAAGAATTAAGGAACAGTTAAATAAGGACTGAATTTCTTTCTTGGCTTGCTCATCTGCAGACAGACATTAATTTGAATTTGTGAAAGATCTTTGTATTTTATGCAAGTTAAGAACTCTTCTGAGATTTTGAGGCACAGACAACACATAGGCAAGTGTTATCTCCAGCATTCTGAGTTCAGCAAATATTCTTAAATATCTTCAGACACTCAAAAGAATGTATTTGACAACTTAACCATTTTGCATCTACACCATGGGATTCTTCTTGGGATTTGATTTCAATAAAGATAAATACTTTCTAAAGATGATAACTCCCTTTGCAGCCAAAGTGATACGCATTTACTAGCATATACATCCAGGGTACAGGGATGGATTTTTGGCAGCGGGATTTATGGAATAATTTGCAATATGGTTTTTATCATCAGGTAGATATCCTGAAATCAGATTCTTCTCCTTGACCTGGCTTCCTATGAGACATATGTAGCTTAGAGAGTTCCCAGCTAGTGCACATGTCAGCTCCAATAGGAGGAATATTTTATTTTATCTTTCAGGCTGGTCAGCATTCTTTTTATTTTTCTAAGGCCATCCAAAATTTTGTTAGAGTTCAAGGATGGGTTTTTGGAAAGTGCTCAGATTTCAGTGGGAGCAGAATTAACTACGCGCAGCCTGCTTTTTGCAAACATTTATCTAATTCTTTGACGGAAATACATATTGCATTCTACCCAATGAAGGGGTCTGCAGTTAGAACTGGTCACTGGGGTGAAATAGCTCACATTTTACTTTTTCTCACTTATAGCAGGATTTCTTCCATTACAACATTCATTATTTAACCACTAAAGTCTAGTTCCAGCCAGCCAGAGATTCAGGCTCCCCCTGTAGTTGGCAAAAAGAAGCCAATGCTTCCAAGATACAGCAAAGAGTTTTTATTCTAAAATGACAGTGGAATGCTCAATTATTCATGACACTGGTCTCAGGAATACTGTTACTAACATCTATATTTATAATTCCCAGGTTGGACACTTCAGCAAAAGCTGAAGGGTGGACCTGATGGAATATCCTTTATTTTGTACTGCATGTGGAGCATGAATTATTTGTTCACTGTTAAAGGTGTTCATTGTGAACATTTCTTGTAAAAAAGGAAATAATTTGTAGTAATACATGGAGTACTGCAATCTGCCTTATGCAAGGTAGAGCAAATGTTTCTCATTAAAGACAGTATTTGTGCATTGAGCTTTTTAGTATTCTTACTCTGTAGTGGGGTCCTTCAAAAAGAAATATAAAATTAATATTATTTCAGCTATGAGAAAATTTATTAAATCGGTATCTTTTATGTCACTTAATTGCTTACTGTAAATGCATAGAAAGAAAAGCAGATGCTGCTTTTCAATCCGTGAGATATCATGATCCACAATTGCAGGCTTTGCTGTTGCATGAGAAGATAATAGCTGATGGAGTGTAATGCAGCACCCTTCGCAGATCAACTACTGCATCTTCCTAATTTCACTGTAACTAGTATGGCACAAAAAGTCAAGAAAGTTAGGAAGGAAGCAGATCTGGCATCAAAGCTAATCATTTATTTTACGTATTATGATGACTATTGATTGATTCTATGAGTTGGACTTGATGATCCTTATGAATCCTTTCCAACTTAGGATATTCTGTGATTCTATGATTCTCCTGATTTGTAATGACTGTGTGGAGAGTCAGGCTATGGTGGGCTTAATAGCTTTATTGTACCCAGTTGTAATATAGTGATTGTGAGCTGTCTATTTCAAAACCACTTGTCAGAGTAAGTGGTGCAGCCTTATTATCTTTACTTTGTGGTTGTATAAGATAAGGAAAGCAAGTAGAAAGATTTTTCCACATAATGTTGAATGACTGTGGAAAAGGTAAAGCTCACCTTCCTGGAACCACCCAAGGGAGTTAATCTTTAGTCTTCTCTGTAACACAAGGGAAATTTCAACAGTGCTTCTATTAAAATCATGAAGTGATTTGCTCAAACTTACCATTAATTGAAGATGAATGCAGTTGTGTTCTGGAAAGCTTTTCTCCTGGTATTTCTGTATTCAGCCAATGAAAACCTTTCCTAACTGAAATTTGACCTGAAGATTGGAAACATGTATCAACTTGAATTATTATTTTTAAATAATAATGTAAACAAATATTATTATTTGGTGTTTTGATAAGAGCCTCAGAACTACGGAAGGCAGCAATAGTACCAATCCTTTACTTAGACAAGGGCTTTGGATCGCCAGTTTTCGATTGACTAGCAGGAACTTCATTGCACCACAGGAACAAGCAAGTTTCTGTTCTTCAATCCCAATTAGGTTAGGGAAGTTCCCATCACAAAAATACTTTTATCCTGAGACTGCTTCAGTGAATGGCAAAACCTGATGAGCAATTATTTGATTATTCTAATATGATAAACATCTTTCTTCTTGCCATGTAAAGAGCAACTAACAGAGTTAGTTTGGATCATTAGATACAGTCATGGAGAAAACAAGCAAGTAAATAATGTTCTTCAGGAAACTCAATGCCAGCACAGTCTCAAATCTAACAGTGTTACAGTATTACTTTGTCAGAGGAGCTGGTGCAGCAATTTTAAACTTTTCTCAGGCTGAACTGTCTGGTTGTCCTGATTGTCTAAGCTTAAGCACAGTGTTTCTGCAGTTACTTTAGTTTTCAGGTGTATTTTGAAGGACAGGAGAAAATTATACTATTATCATTAGCAATTTTGGGGGAAGGCTAAAACTCAAAAATTAGCTAAATCATTCAATGAAATGCATGTATGCAGCTAATTTGTTTTTAAAAGTCACTTGGATGGAACTATGACATAATAATTCCTTTTCTCTGAAATCTCTGGAAGTAATTCCTTCTCCCAGGCTACCACGAGAAAATATAATTACATATAGATGCATTTAGCAAGTTCATGTAATAGATATAAGTGCCACATTATGTGTATTTGTGGAGAGGGTAGTCAGGTCGTAGGTCCACAGGTGGCATGGCCAGGAGCTGATGCATTAGGTGAACATTCAGCTTCAGTTTTAGGCTGTGGGAGTCCAGTTCATCTGCTCCTGAACCACTCTGGGTCGTAACCCACAGCACAGTAAGTGAGGACAAACAAACAGGGGATTTGCTTCAAAAGCACTCTCCTGACCCATATGAAAACACTGATATTCTCTTTCATGTTGCCATTCGTTGCACTAACGACTGAGTCCTAAAGAAGGTCTTAGCAAGGAGTTTTATATTTAGCACATACTGGCGTGCATCATTCTGTGCCACTGCATAGAAAGAAAAACAAATGAATTCCTCTCCTGAAAAAGGCAGAATTTATTGCATTGCCTTCTGTGTCCCAGTTTCTAACACAAACAGGATCTGTGCTCAGAAGTTATAGCTAGAGAACTGTCAGTTTAGTTTTGTATTCTTTCTCATTGCTGTTAAGTAACCACTTGAAGGTAGCAGATCATTAATTCTTTTTATGAAGCTTCACAACACAGTTAAACTGTGTCTAAGATAACAATCATTTGTAAGGTTAACATTTACTAAATCATTTCTTAATGTGTGTTAGCCAACTTAAAGTTTAGCTAGGCTAATATTTAGTCTCCAAGAAGAAAGGGAAAGAAAGAAAAACATAAAAACATAATGTATATTGTGTTCTATGTACCAATATGTACGATATTGATTGTTCTAATGCTGTGCCAAAGTACAACATTAAATCAGTGACAGAAAGACTCTGAAGCTTTTCTAATCTGCATAAAATTTCTCACCCCCAAAATTGTTCTTTCACTGTTATTCCAACCAGAAAATTAATGTAGTGAGACTTGTAGCCAATGTATTGACAGCATAAAATATTGCCCACAACCAGAGAAAACAACTTGCACATGCAATCTGTGTTTCAATTTTGATTAAAAACCTACAGATATAATAAACCTTGGTGAAATCCATGGTATTATAGCAGAGATATGGTTAAGATTTGCTGCAAGTTAGCATTTTAATTTAAGATTTTAAATTAATTATTCTTTAAAGTAACATCTGTTACTCACGTAGCTGACTGAAGCAGGATGTGCTGTGAAGCATGTGATGGAAGAGCTTGCACAGCGACTGTTCTGCCGGTGGTGAATTCTGACAGGTGCACTCCACACGTAGCATTGTGCCCCAGTTGCTGATGTAGGCTGCTTTGCAATCAGCGTTTGCAGAACAGGGCATGTCGTCTTTAATTAAAGTTTCAAGACAAGCTTCATCGTCATAGCACTCTTTGGTCACATGTCTCCAACATTTGTCCCAAAAAGCTTTGTATTTTTTCCTGGCAGAAAAAAAAGAAGTGTACAGTGATGGTTTTGAAACTGTGATTTCACAAAAAGAAAGTTAAGGATGATCATAAAAAGAGAGTGTATTCTTGAAGTGCCATGTAAGCTTTAAAAAACAAAATATTCAGTAGGTGGCATAAATTCTGCTCTGATTTGACTGCACCTTGTTCGTTTCAGTGAAATTGCAAAATTGTAACTTGAAATTACACCATTACTCAAAAAGTTTTTTGAAACAATCAGCTGTACCCCAAACCAGCATCTGTGTAGTCTTTCCAAGGGTCCAGCAGAAATCATTGTGAATGCCAGCAGTCCCAGATCCTCAGGGACAGTAGGTGGAAGAATAAGACCACTCACCACCATGAAAACAGAAGAGGCACCTTTCTATGGGATGAGCTTGTTGGGCAGCATGATAAGAAAAATGAATGTTGAATTTAATTGAAATAAAATAATCGCCAACCAACTAACCAAAAATTCCAGATAGAATGCTAACAAAATACAAAATGACCAAGGATATGGAAAAGGAATTTCATTGCAGATACTTGCCCTTAAAAATTAATTGACAGTGAAGAGATGTTACGTGAGGAATTGTTTCTCAACTCTATGGACTTAAATTATTTTAGTTTATTTGCTCTTAGAGTAGAATAAAATTAATATTTAGTGCTTTTGGTATGACCAAAGAGAAGACTTACTAAAGATTAATTAAGTAATCTGTAGATACTGGCTGTAAACCAGTTTATCACTTATATTAAATCTTGGCAGACAAGAAAGGTAAAATGTTGTTATGTAGTGTACTGTAGTATCTTAAAATATTCTTTCATTAATCATAACATTAGGCTGTTAATTTACTACTGCTATTGTGTAATTGTTACAAGCAAGTCACGTAGAAAAATGTTCTTGGGCCTTATTGTAAATATTTTTATTACACCAGCAAAGGTTTCAAAGCAGATGCCACCTCTGTGCTAATGGAATTATTTTTGTTCACCTTCAGATTTATAGATATGGCTAGCTATAATTCACAAACTAATTTAGCTAATTATGTCCACTTATTGTCAGTGCCAGGAAACATTAATGCTCCCAAAATAATGGGTAATTCAGCAAGTCTCCATTATGGTATTGCATGTGTACACATGTACAGGCACAGACTTACATTCGTAGCCCAGTTCTTCCTGACATAAAAAAGGGCATTTCCCACTGACGTCAATCTGAGTAGCCTGCTCTGAACTGAAAGTGTCTCTTGGTCTCCTGCATTGTTTACTGAGAGTAAAATTATGCACAGCTTTGAGGGGAAATTGAGGTGTAATCCACAAGAGAACCAGTGACTACACTGAAAACCAATGTGAGCCAACTGGCCATCCCCAAAAGGTGTTGATTAAATAGAAGAGAAAGTATGGGCTAATCCTGTTGCATATTTTCTAAACTAAAATAAAATCTGAAAACTGTTCCTCTTCATGACTTTGATGGTCCGTGTATTGTTCCAGGGCAGCTTTTTTTTCATTTTTATTTGAGAATAAAAGAATAATATGAAAGTTTTACAAAGGGCCAAGTTAGTCAAACAGCAGTTGGATCTGAAGGATGAGATGCTAAGGTGGAAGAGGTAATTACTTTAACCAAACAAACTTCTCCCAGTCTGCTGCATAATTTGTGTAAACTGCTAGGGGGCAAAGGAGCAGACTGGCAGGTGTTATCTGAAGAAAGTGGTAATGAAAATACTATACAGAATAGTTTGTCCAGCCAAAATGGTGTTAAGAGTCATGAAACAGGCAGAAGAAAAGGCCACTGACGATCCAAGACCTGTCTGAAAATGAATGTTTGTGGTTTGCTTGTGGGATTACTTACTGAATTACCAGTTTCAATGCAGACATCTATGATAGATGTCCAAATGGAACCTGCTGCTTTGTAGTCTCTTTTCAGACTAGACTTCAATGAATTGCTGTCTGTGCCAAGGGATAGATAACCTAACTTTTTTGACTGGGTAATTGGGTAAATTATGCTAATCAAACCTATTAATGTGCCATATGTAGCCTAGTAAAATGTTCTCTGCCCACATCTGATTTTAAATACTCACTGCAGTTCTTACACACGATGATTTAAAGATCCCCTCTATTTGAGTTTGTGTGAAGAGGGTCTCTAGATGCCTATAGTTATCATGCAAGAGTAAGTCAAAGAGGAGAAAAGCACCTGGTGGGAAGGTGGTGTGTAAAAAATGTATTCTAAAACTGGTAACTAAGATGTAAAGATCAAAGATTAAAGGCGGTAATTCTCTGCTGTTTGTATCCATAAAGTATGACTTTTTGAAATGTCAAGCACAAGAGATGATATAGAATAGATACAGTGCTGAAAATCATTTTGTTATAGATGAGAAATACAAAAATTATTTGATCAAGTCACTATTCACAGGCACACAACTGGCCGAGATTAGGAAAAGTAATCATTCTTCTAGTTACCTGCACAATTCATCTTCCTCACACATGCGAATTACACTTAGACATGATGGGAGTGGAGCTGAAGTAATTGCACAGGGCTTCCCATGAAGAAGTTCTTTGGCACTGTGGCAGGATTCATCAGGCTGGACACAGTCACAAAATGTCATCATTTGGGCGACTTCAGAAGGCATGTTGTGATAGAAGAACCTCATGGCTGCTTGGCATTCTTCCATGTTGCACTTCTTATTTACTGAACAGACCTTAAGGTACAGGGACAACTGTTTGTTACATACTTCATCTTCAACACAGTCCATGTTCACATCCAAACAGGATCTGTTTGCTGTGTATGCTAAAAAGAATAATGATTTTTAAAATGAAACTACAAGAAAATCTTATGTGATGATTGGCAGTCAACCTGCCTGCATTATTCCCATTAAAAACAAGTTAGTCTTCCCAAAGCTCTTAGCCAGCTTTTCCAACACTGTCTTTTCTAAGCTCATTTTGTTGTCCTCATATTCTACCCTTGCACTGCTTGCCTCTCACATGCAATCCCCTTGTAACTTGTTGCCCTACCAGATAATTGAGTAAGAAGGAAGTGAGAAATGGCAAGATGGAAATTTCTTTGGAGTATCCCATAGCTTCCAAGAGCTACTACTGGATTCTTAAAAACACTGACATCTCCACTATGACATTTTAAAATCTAGTTCAGGTAATTGTAGGCTGTGCTATAAGCCTTCCAAAACTATATAGCTATTTCTAACTCCAAAAGGGCTATGGGATAAGTTTTGCCTCGATAAATATAACAGAAACAGGACTGTTACCTATCATTTTTGGATTCTCATCTATCCAGTTGTTTAACTAAAATATTCAGGGTTCTACTGACTCCTTGCTCTTCAGTAATCTGAATGAAAACTATTCATTTCAATCTGGAGATACAATGCACATTATGCGAGAACAGAGATAAAATGGGTTTCTAGGATCCAGAAATAAATTCATACCTTGCTTGGAGAGAGATGATAAACTCCATTGTAGCTTTGTTTCCATACTAATATTGTCTAAAACAGAAAGATATGGATATACATATATGAGCAGTGTTGATAAATCATGCCGCAGCTTAGTTTTCAGCTTTAAAGCATTGTGTTTTGCTGAAGTAGTGCTGGTAAAAATAAACAAGAATAAAATAGATCAGCTCAGTGATCAGTCAGGAATTGTCAGCTTTTAACAAACTCTAGCAGCACTGTGACATGTATTTATAGACTTTGGGGTGAAAGCACATTTTCACAATGGCTGTTGATACATAATTATACATTCATGTGAAATGAAGGAGAGTTTGTAGAGATGCTCAGCTCAGAATAAAATCAGGGTTATTGTGAATAAATAAGGCCAGTGGCCTTAACGCATTCATCTGTGTACACATTTTTTAAAACTCAGAGGGCTTGTTCAGTATGAAGTCAATGCAGGCAGAGAATTCTTATTTTCACTTTTGAAAAATGCAAAATGAAACTTTTGAAAAATGTAAAATGAAACTTTTTTCTTTTTTTTCAGCTATAGTGTAGTGCTAAAAGAGACTGATTAGGGTCAGGAGTAACCAAATTAACCAACTGAAGGAAAATAGTGTTTTCACTCAGGCTTTTGTTTTGCTTTCAGATTATTCATTTGCATTTAAATAAGCCTCTCAAAACTATCCTGTTTCCAATGGTAAACTGCAGTGGTTTAAGAATTTGTTTTTTCCACAGACGCACGCATGTATGAAAGGGTTCTGAGTTCTGGAATAGCACCAACCTATGTCAGTGTTCTGATTTTTATCATGATCATCACCATTATCATCATCTTCATCACCATTTTCACTAGCTACTGAATCTTGGTTCCCTTGAGAATACTGCAAACAAGGGTTGCTAAATATTCCCTTCCATATTTTAAGGCATCTCCTTTGTAGTGGCTCCGAGCACTTGCACTCTCCCAGCACTGTTTTCCTCAGTTCTTTCCATGCTGACAAACACTCCTGGCTGCCCATCCTACATTTTGCTGCCTCTGCCTGGCACGCTTGCTGGAAGCTCCTATACACAGAAGAGCAGTACAGATCCTCTTGACAGAATCTTTTCGCAGTGGTGCAATCCTTCTCTGATTCATCGGGATGTCTTTGGCTTTGGGGCTTTCTGTGCTGCCTAAAACTCAGCTCAGCATTTGATCTTGATGAACTTTCCATGCTCTCTGTGCAAACAGAAAAAAAAGACAGACATTGAATAGAAGTTGCAACGTCAGCTCACAACAAATTTCAGAAAAGTGGATGAAATGGTCCTAATTGTGACATGACTAGATTCTGCTATATGTATATATACATAATAGTTCCAGATATCTTTTTCATTCCTGGTATCTGTATAATGTATAGTCTAGTTCAGCAATTCAGTTGCCAAATGCCACTCACTGCAATTACAATATAAAGGGATTAATGTCAAATAATTGTAGCCATATACAGATTGGACATATGGTGGATTATCATTTTAATGAGGAGAGGAGAGGAGAGGAGAGGAGAGGAGAGGGGAAAGGGGAAGGGAGGGGAGGGGAAAGGGGAGGGGAGCCCTTCTCCCCCTCCCTCTCCAAAAAAATAAAAAATTAAAAAAAGATAATTCTTTTGCTAAAAGCAAAATCAAGTGGTCCAATGACATGAACAGCAGATTTTAGCCACTCACTCTTCATGTTTCAGGTCAGGATGTTATTTCCTCTGGAATAAAGATATATATCCTACTAGCCTGTGTGTGATAAACACTCATTGATGTCAGCAGGGAGTGATGGATCAGATGAATCAGAGCAGGGAATCAACCTCAGGGCTTGCTTTCCAGACTCTTGTTCTCTGGCTGATTTTACTGCTCTCATGTCAGATTTACTATCATTAAATTGGGTGAGGAGCTGCCAGTCTGACATGCACCAAGTATTTCTCAGTTACAGAAACGTATTTTCTAGTTCTCAGAACAGCATAAAATAAGTTAGAAGGAGCTGGGACCCTTGTTTACAATGGAATTCTAAAGAGGAAGCTTTCTATGTATTAAGAACTGCTTTATTGTACAGCTAATTGTGAAGGCAGTCACAGTGTTCCCCACACCAAGTAAATGCAATGAAGATGCAAAGTGACTCAACAGCACGATGGGGCAAGCCACTCACTCTCACTCCCATTCACAAGGGCTTGATGTGAGTAACACGGATCCAAGGCAATGAGGAGACCTCAGCACGCCCAGTGTTTTCACTCTTACTTCCCATTGCATGGAAGAAGGGTTTGCAAGACCGTTTGAATTCCTCACATGCCTTTTACTAATTTTATTTATTTTAAAGCATTGCTTTCATGTGCATGCTAGAATGTTAATATCATAGAAAAGACAAAGCGCAACTAAATTGAGGGGGGTAAATTACAAGGTTTGAGAAATGCACAAATAAACTTGAATCTAGTTAAAATGAGGGTTGCAGAGTTATATTTTAATTTTACTTCTTCACAACTAAAACTTCCCGTTTAACTACTACCTTTGTCACCACTGCATCGATTCCCGAGTATAGCTGTGATGCTGCAGGGACCATCTGTAGTGCAGACACAGTTTTTAAAGTCTGGATATTTGTCAGCCAGAGCCCAGATGATTCTATTACAGCCAATAGCATCTTCTGCCTTGCATCTATTACCTGGAACTCACAGTTAAAATTATAATGCTGTTAATGCTTACGAACGCTTAAGGGATATGGTTACACAAAACAATTCAATTGAAGCACAGAAATAATATGTTTTGCCACAAGAAGATGCCTCGAACCTCATTTTCTTTGAAAACCTGACATAATTTACAAATTTTAAATAATATTCAGAAATGTAATAAAGATGTAGGCACAATATTTCCTTCTTGTATTCGGCCTGACCTGCTGCCAGAATGTCTGTTTCTGCTCTCTCTTCCAAGGTACATGAAATGTTAAAATGATTACTTTTGACAGGAATTGAACAGAATTAGTGCACTTTTGGCTTAAAGAGTTCATTTAAGGGACCATGTTCACAGTGAGGTAAGCCAGCACACATCACTGTGCTGGAGGTTGGTGGTGGAAATACCCGCAGGGGAGGGGAGTAGAGGAGGAACATAGCTGGGATCAGAGGCCACTCAGCAGCATGAGACAAAAAAAATCAGTTAGCCCTCCACTTTATGGTCTAAATGGTTTTACGAGTGCGTCCATTTTTGCTTGAGAAAGTTTCAAGTTGGTTAAGAAAGTTATACAGGAAACAATTTATTACCATTTTTAAAAAGCTTTATAATGTGAAAGCCATGTTCTGCCTTGTGAAAGTAGGCACGCAGCTCCTTAGACCAGCACATTCCCTTCTCTTTGCTGCATGAGTTATCTCGCCATAATAGGGTAAGGCATACATATATGGGGCTCACAAGATTCAGACTGGTCATGGAGCAGCATGAAGATCTGTTTTAACCTACAAACTGCCTACGGCTCCTGTCTGTGCCCTGTTAGCAGTGGTGCCTGCCTTGCTGCTTTTCAGGCGAGCGGTGCCTTCTGTCACCACTGCTGCTGACAACTATAATGTGATTACAGTTTTAATGTCATTTACAGGTTGCTGACATGAATGGCAGCGGAAAGCAGCTGAGATGAAGACCTGCAAGAGGAAGGAGTGCCTGAAGGAATGAGAATTAACTGCACAATAGCGTACACATCCGTTTTACCAATCCTGAATCCTTTTTCAAATGGTGCCTGCACTGTACTTTCTCCGTTTCCATCACTGACTAAGGAGGGTTTGTGGATCCATGAAGATGTGCACTGCTCCAGGGGTATGTTGTATTCTATCGCAGATTACAGCTCCCATCCTCTACTTCCACTTCATCTCTTGTCTCAGTAAAGTCATGGTGCCTTGGCTTACCTTGATATCTCCATCCCATCTCAACTTGCCTTCTGCACTTTCAGCAGCAGTGTAACCCCCATCCCTGGAGGCTTTCAAGGCCAGGTTGGATGGGCCTTGGGCAGCCTGATATAGTGAGTAGCAACTCTGTCCATGGCAGGTGGTTGGAAATGGATAGGCTTTAAGGTCCCTTCCAACTCAAACCAGTCTCTGAGTATGATTCCGTGATTCCATGATCTATGATTTTATGATGTAGAGAAAGACATGGCCTTTAGCTCTCATATTTCTTTCTCTTCTTAGTAGCCAAGGAACTCAGGAAGTCTAATAGGAGCTATGAAGGTCACTTTCTGACAGTAAAGACAGGGAGGAAAGTACATGGTGACATGGGGACTATGGAGATCCACTTGAGGCAGGTGGGAGGATATTCTACTTTGTGAACTGAGAAAGGGAAAATAAAAGAATTTCAGGATACAACTTCAGGAGGACAAATTTCAGTTGTAGATAAACAACAGCAAAGATCAGCTTGTGTAAGAAATGGTTAATTTACAAAATTTTGACTGTTTTCCTGATGGGCTTACAGATACTTCCAGGATGGAGTTGGGAAGAGATAAGAAGAAAGGAAACTCAAATCCCAATATATTTCATGCAGGCTTCCCAGCCTCACTTGGCTCATTCAAGTTGATGGCACCAGCCACACTTCCATCATTGTGTCCTACAAACACACTGCTGAATTAGAGCAGCAGTGGGTAGGATGTAGGTTATGGGGTTATGAACTTACAAAGAGCATCAACAGAATCAGGAAGCATATCAGATTTACCCCTTGCCTGGCCTCTTGAAAGCTGTGTAGAAAGAACCTATTATCAGCACTGGTCTGTTTGTACTCTCTGTTGATTCAGCTGTGATGAACAGCAGAAAATATTTTATTGCTGGTTTTCAATTATTTCGCTTTATCATTCATTAGTTCTAGGTAATAAATTTCAGCTTATACAAATACTACCAAGGCATTTACAAAAAAAAAATTCTCTGACCTAATGCTTGGCAATCATTCTTCATTATCTGATTGATTTATATGTACATAATTTATGTACATGTGAGCACAGATAGAAGTGTGACAGAAAAGAAGCTTACAGTTCCAGGGTGATAATCTTTCTACTTGCACAGTCAGCTCTTCAGTCATCTCAGTGGTAATTGCATCAGAAGGAAAGCATGGGGTTTTTCCCCTCTAGCACTGGTGAACCACATCTCAAGTACTGTGTCCCCCATACTGGATTCCTGAATATAAGAGGGACATGGGCATACTCAAGTGTGTCCTGCAAAGTTCCACGAATGATGAAGGGATTGGAGCCTCACCAAGAGAGTCTGAGAGAGATGGGATTGTTTAGCTGGGAGGACATAAAGCTCAGGGGCATACTGATTACACACATATTCATGCATATAAATACCTGACGAAAGGAAGATGAATCAGTCAGGCCCAATCAAGTGACAGAACAAAAGGCACAAACAGAAATGCAATAAATTCCACTTAAAGATCAGGAAAAAACTTTTTTTTACTATGGGGGTGGTGAAACAGAAGAAGAGGTTGCCCAGGAAGATTGCAAAGGTCCACATTTGGAGATATTAAAAATCCAACTGGTCACACTCCTGGAAGACAACTTATAATCAACACTACTTGACCAAGGGTCTTGCTCTAGATCTGCAGAGAACCTTTCCAGTCTCAGTGATTGTTATTCTAAGTAAACTCAGTAAAAAAGTATGCTCAGTGAAATAAAAAAAAAGAAAAAAAAAAAAAAAAAAAAAAAAAAACACAACAAAACCAAACCTTAAAAATCTTCATTCTGCAATGGTGAAACATTTTTGATATTTTCAAAGCAAAAATTTTGGATTCAAAATTTTCAGAATGAAAAGCGAATATTTTAATCTTTTCCATCTCATGGACATTTTGATCCCCCTTTTTTTTTCACAATATCAGGACATAGAAAAGAAATTAGAAGAAGGGTTTGTCTCAGAAGACTATAAGTTGAGATTCTGAAAAATCTTTTGGAGTAGAGAAGCAGTGATGGGCAGTGCGACTGAGAAAGGAGTCACTTAGGCTGAGTGTTCCCAGTCCTGCTCTGGAGAATAATAAATGAAGGTCATGGTAATGCATGTATTTAACTTGGAGGTTGTCTCCTGAGTGACTGAACTGCTGAACTTGTAATACAGAACAGGAGCATGATTATCATTTGTAGTTAGGTTTTCATAAAGAAAAAGCAATATTTACCCCGTTGCCTATTGTCTCCAACTGACATCTTTGTGCTCAACACTGAAGGGACTCTTTCCATTCACACAGCTCACCCTTTAAGTTTTTTCTCTTGCACAGGTGGAGTTCTCTTGACAGGTAGTACAGTGTTCTCAGCAGTAATGCTGTTAAGTTTTTCTGTTGCTGTTGCAGTGGGCTCTCTTTGAGGTACCATCAGTGTCTGACTTTGGGTTCATACCCTCTGAGGTCATGGCACATACTAAACACATTTAGAATAATTTGTCCTAGACATAATTTGCGTGTTCTGCAACACCAAAGAGTTCTTGCCAAAAGCTATTATCATAAGGAAATCTACAAACGCAAAACCAAACAAGCAATCATGGGAAGAATTTAATTTTAGAAGGGTTCTCTGGCACAGTTATATGCCATTAATATCAGTGAATAAATACACAGGAGAATAAATGAGGGAAATAGCATAACATGGGAACGTGCAACAAATCTAAGGGGGATTCCAGAGAACTGATCATGCTGGTTCACCTCACCTGGCTGTGGTGAAAGCTACAGCGCAAATCCTGACCTTTATGTCAAGTAGCCTTGGTGCTAATGCCTTTGTGAATGATGTGAAAGATGCAAATTCATCTTCTAATTTGAGGAAGAAGTTTGGGTCTAGACAGTTCATCTTTAGCTCACTGTCTTGATCCTGAAAGTACAGCATATTCCAATACTTTTCTTCAAATACCAATTTTTGAAACTCATAAAATATTTAAAAACTCAACAGAGCACAAGCTGAAACCCAGCTCCTCTGGGGACTCTTGCAGCCATTAGGATATCATGTATTTTTCATTTACTCTCTCTGTTCTTAAAAGTACTTGGCCATTCTGTACGAAGCAGATTTGTATCTGGAACAGGACACACTAAGAAGGAACTCACAGATGACTTCCTGCCCTAATTATTTTAAATACTGCCTGTGACATGGGACACCTGAGTGCAAATCTCTGCAACAAATCAGACAGCAGGAGCATTCAAGTAGCTTACACTGCAGGTGTGAAGTCAGTGTCTTCTTCTGCCTGGTGTGCCACACAGACCAAACATGAGGCTGGCCTATGAAGTTGCAACAAACAGAGGGACATTCATTTCATGAACTCTGCTTCATTTGAAGCTCTTAATGAATCATGGCATCAGGAGATGGCTGATTTTGTTCAGGATGTGTCCATACAAGGCGAAGGAGCATTCCCATGGTGATTCAAATACTTTGGTAATTCCCAGAAATCGAGAACCTACTTTATAGAATTAAGTTACTAGAAATGGCAGTTAAATATCTAAATCCTTTTGGCTGAATTTATGAATAAGACCAAGGCACAGGCTAGGCTAATGGCAAGTGTCTGTGCCTGGACTGCTGCATTTTAGTATCGTACCTGTAATGGATTGAGTCAGCTACGTGGTGAGGATAGCATGGACAACATAGCATAAAGGCAACAAAGCTGTGAGGTCTTGAACATAAGTCTTACAGGGAGCAGCTGAGAGAACTAGCACAGGGGAGACCTTATAGCTCTTCACAGATATCTGAAAGGAGGCTGTGGCAAGGTGGGAGTCAGCCTCTTCTCCCACATAAACAGAGATAGGAGGAGACGGAATGGCTTCAAGTTGTGCCAGGGGAGATTCAGGTTGGATGTTAAGAAAAATTTCTTCTCACTGGAATGGGCTGCCCAAGCAGTGGCTATGTCACTATCCCTGGAGGTGCTCATTTAGGAGGAAGTTTTTGACGCAGAGAGTGGTGACACAGTGGAACAGGTTGCCCAAGGAGGCTGTGGATGCCCCATCCCTGGAGGCTTTCAAAACCAGGCTGGATGTGGCTCTGGGCAGCCTGGTCTGGTGGTTGGCGACCCTGCACACAGCAGGAGGTTGAAACCAGATGATCATTGTGGTCCATTTCAACCCAGGCCATTCTATGATTCTCCGATTCATTCTATGAATCCATGAAACTAAGGGATGTGGTTTAGTCAGGAAATATTGGTGATAAGGGAATGATTGGGCTAGATAATCTTTTCTAACCTTGGTGGTTCTATGATTCTATGATCTAGAATCACTCCTGAGAGGCATTTTTTTTACAGTCAGCACTAAATTTATCTGTATGGGTCCATGCTGTCCCATAACACTTGAATTCAGAGTGCTGTCCCATAACGCTTGAATTCAGGGCCAGAAAACAGCCCCTGCACCATTTTATTTTTGTGTACAGATGTAGTTTTTGGTGAATCAAGGCTCTTGACGTTTATCAGCACACAGAAGAAACATTACTAGGTCATCTTAATGACACTGCCATGCTGTTTTGCCACTGTTTTTCTCCCTTCTGTATTCACATCATCTCGTAAGTGAATACTTAATAGTTAATGATGAGCTCTTTAAACCTTTACATAAAAATTTAGATTACGAAAAAGGGAGAGGTGGTGACTGATACCTAAGTACTTCTACATGGTTTGTTCAAGAAGATAATAGGTCTATGGAGAAAGCAACATCTTCTACAACTGAGATTAAGATGAGCTTTAGATCAGACATATACCTGGTTTTCTCCCACTTACAACATAATTATATTTCACTAGGAAGTGATGGAAATGATGCACCAAACACTGGAATTGCAGTAAAGAGAGAGAGACTGATTTTTTGCTTTCTTTTATGTAAGAATCTGTTCAACAATTCAAGGAGGATTAGTCATATCCATAACCTGCAATTTAGTGTACCATCACTCCCTGGAAGTGAATCACTCAGACATATGGGTACTATTCACTGAAAAAAGACAATATATCTTCCTACATAACAACTTTCTTTGAGGAATGCTTTATTTAATTTGCTTCTTACTATAATACAGTATTAAAAATTAGCAGACTACTCCATTGTTTTGGCTACGGTATGAAATCAACTTTGAATTACAGAGAAAAAGGCTGAAATCTTATTCTAGTTACATGCTGGAAAATGTTTATCATAATCCTACAGGAGAATAATTTCCTCTGAATTCAGATTTGCTGAGTTGGCTCGGACTCTGACATTGCTTATATTTTGGAAATTACATTTACCATCTTATGTAAGGGACATCATCACTGTTAGTAGCAATAGATAGTATCGGCTACCGTCAAGGATTTCAGACATCAACTGTCAGCTGATGCCATTTGCTCTTTGGAATCTCACTGATTTCAGTCTTTCACCACAGCAATATTATGGCTCACTACAGAAGTGCAACAACTCAGTCATTCAAAAATGACAAACATAAAGAATTACCTGAAATATTGCAGACATCCTCAACAATAGTCCAGATGCTCTCACACCCATTTGCAACATTCATACATTGTTTACTGAAGTGCGGGCAATCAGTAGTCTGGGCAGTAGATACACTTGGGAAGTACATGAGCAGCACTGTAAAACAGAATATAATGACTATTCAACACAAGTATTGTCTTTTCTCATTAGCATTTAGATTATAACAATACAATTTACTGTATTTTATCTATAAAGTGATCTAGTAATTTACTTTTTATTAGAACAAAGGTTTTCCTCAGTTTTACAGCTGAAAACTCCAAAATTTTCAAACTTGCAGTGTGGTTTCTTTCATATTGCTTTTATCCCAGTATTATGACATTAGCTATAGCTATGTATGACATCTGTGTACAGATATATAGAAATGACCGGAGTTCTGAGAGCCACAATAAAGTGCAGAAAGGAAGACTGAGTATGACATTCAGAGAATGTATCACTTTATTTGACTGCAATTTAATGAAACTGCAGGGTACATAGGAATTCCTATGAATAGAAGATACAAAAGAGATCTGACAGCTCTACAAGTGTTAGATAATAGACTTTTATTCAATCTCTTTGATTTTATTTTGCAAATCATCATCATGAAAGCAATCCCCACATTTTTTATCTATTTCCCTGAGTGCACTGAACCTAAAGGCAGTGTTCATTGCATTAGAAAGTTCGAAAACTTATGAAAGACTGATAGAAAGTTTTCAAGGTAAAGAATTTTAAATCAGCACCATCTCTGGCTTATCTGTAGAAAATAAGATTGCTTTGCTCCGAGAAGACAAACCAGATGGGGGTTAGTTCTTTCATCAACATTTCCATGGTAACACAACCTCTAATTTGTAACCATGTATATTTGATGTAAAATTAAGTTTCAGACACTTATTTAAGGTTTTATCAAACTAGCTGCTGAACATTTTCTGGGATTTTGCTTTGGTTATTGGGCAACGCCATTTTTTATGACATTCAGTCAAATTCATGCGGAATTTGAGGAGTTTCCATCTCTCTTCAAATCCTTAAATATGAACTGTAGGAGAGATAAACTATTCTCTTTGTGTTTGTCAGGCCATTATTCAGATAAATTAAGTGTTTCAAATGATGCATTTGAGAAACAAAAAACCAAATATAGCTCTTAATAATCTCAAAGAGCTCCTACTACTTAGAAGTGATGCTATTCCTTCTGTAAATGATGTTTAGCTTGATATAATGATAGGGATCACTTCATGGAGACACACTGATAAGGATGCTGTAACACTTAATACTTTATATCTAACAGGTGCAATAGCATTTAGTGTGCTGCAGAGACGCAGAAGAGGCCACATGTGCTCATCATAAGAGAGTGAAGTTGGTGCTTATCCTTTCCCACTTGTCCATAATCCTCCCATTTCTCAGATCTATGCTGAGCTGGTTGTGAGATCAATCATTTTAAGCCTGGAACAGTCATGCAGGCTGCTTCTCTTAATCAGCCTAGAAGACTGATAGAAGCAACTTCTGCAGTCAACACTGAAAAATGTCAAACTGGCTCACCCAAAGGAATAAGTTTTGGCTCATTATCACAAAATGCAATTCCTGGGGTTGTTTATAAATGATTATTTCTAAATGTGAAGTTACTCACTGTTTATTTAGATGACAGAAAATGCAGCTATATGGTATAATGCTGGACAGGTGAAAATGACTTGCATATATAAGGCAATGAAAAATTATGTACCCAGGAACTTTTAAAGAAAGGACGCTTTGCTGGGTGATCATCTAAATATGCTTTAGGTACTGATACAATGGGAAATATACATCTTCAGCTAGGATCTGCAGTACGACAGACTCTATTAAGAGTATTCCTGTTAAGAAAGCATTTCAGTACCTGTAGCTAAAAATGAATAGTTAAACTGGGGATTAATTAAAAAGCTCATTAGCAACTTTGTTAGGATTATTTCAGAGTGCATGTATTTTGAACCCAACTGGAGACTGTGCAAAATGGAAGAGATGTTTTTGTAAAATAATCTGTAGCCTAATTTGTGAGTGAGGCTAATTCAGTCCTAAAAAAAGGACTTCTCCAGATATAATGATACACTGCGATCTTTTATATCTTCAGCAGCACACAGAGGGCATGCAGTGTCAAGTAGACACAAAGCAGACTGGTCTGATTTTAGACTCCAATACACTTCAGTTTAAGCACAATTGCATGAACCGATAGCCATTACTTTAATCACTCTATTTATTTAGTGTTTGGAGTACTCAAAACTGGTTTGCTATTAGGAAAGTTCAGGGCATCTAAAAGATATTTTGAGCTAAAACTTTTAGAGTGATATAGCTTGACACAAAGGCACTTAAATTTAGACTTCTACAGTAATCTCTTTTTGTACAAGTGTAAAGATGTGGTTGCTTTTTGTTTTTGTTTGTTTGTTTTGCTTTGATTTTTTTTTTTTGTTTTGTTTGTTTTGTTTTGTTTTGTTTTAAGAATTTGATGTCTAAAAAGGAAGGGGGAATATGTACATTGTAGCACCTTCATTATCTAGATTAGGCACAGGGGAATGACAGTCTTTCTTTCAAGACTGAAGAATGATTATCTGCTAGATAATAATGAACAGGAAACTAAGATTTCTCGAGCTGGGTCTTCTTAACCAGCAGCAAGAATAGATAGATAGCAAGCTCCAAAGGAGAAAAACAAACAGTAGTTGTTATCAGGAGTTGCAAATGTGAAAAAGGACAGCCTTATTCTAATAAAATCCCAGGCAGAACTCCCTATAGAATGTTTTTAACAGTGGACTAGAAGTTTAGAGTAACGAGAGGAGCAGCATGCATACAGAATGTACCGAGTGGGAAAAAGAGGACAGAAAAAATAAACAGAAAACTTGTCTCATACTCCTTTCTACCAATTCTTTTTCTAACAGCTTTGTTGATTTTCCTATTTTTATCCATACACCCTCACGGGGAAATGTCAATAATTACCCACATAGCACTGCCAGCACTGAACGCTATCCCATTAGCAAACAAGTGCCTGTTTATTTACAAAAAAACATCCCGTTTGCAGATCTCCTCACCAGCTCAACTTCTTATCAGTGCTGGCGGTGCTTCTCTGCCTTTACCTCTGACTCGTTAGCGGACCAGGCTGGAGAAGTCCAAGCCTCAAGGCCTGTATAACACACACCGGTACGAGCCCTCTCCAGGTGTACGCTCACACTAGCGTCTCGCCAGTGGAAGGGGCCTCCTGGCGGCGCCGCATCCCCCCGCCGCCCGCGCACTTACCGAAGCAGAGCAGCGCGGCCATGGCCGGCCGTCGGCGGTGCAGCTCCGCGCCGAGCAGCGGCAGGTGCCGTGCGGCGCCTCCCCTTCAGCACCCGGCGCGGGGACAGCGCCCGTCCGGCCCGGCCCGGCCCCCGAGGAAGGCGCAGGGCGGGACGCGGGGGAGCGGGGCCGGGGCCGCGGCAGCGGCGGGGGAGGCAGAGTTGAGAGCCCACCCGGGCAGACTTCGTGCCTTCTTCTTCCCACCTCCTTCGGGCGGGAGCAGCCCAAGCCTCTCCCTACGCCCAGAGCTTCCCTTGCTGCATTTGTTACACCCTTCTCATTTGTCTCCTTGCAGTAGCGGTTGAGCTGGACTGCCTGTAGGTGAGAGGTAGTTCTTAGGCGTTTATCATGCAATTTGGTATTTCTCCTGTGTTCGGCTAGTACTTGATTTCAGGAGGAACAAACAGAGCACGGCTTTCGCTGTTTCCTATAATCTCTTCTGAAACGCCTTTTCAAACATTCAGTTTTGTTTAACTGTTGCCGCATTTGACCATCTTCTGTAAGCACTTTTCAGTGCACTTCAGAAGTGATTTTGGTTATTTTCAACTCAGATGTGGGACTGAATCATGGTCTACTAAAGGGAAAGAGTTACTGTGGACCACATTGGACAGCAGATCAGAGGAACAAACAGTAAGTATATACAGACTAGGAATTTCGCTAAGATACATATTTAAAAAAACACAACCCCTTGCAATACAAATGTCAGAAACTGACTTGACTACTTAAAAGATAAACCAACTATGAATTTTATAATAGGTGATAAGTTGGATGAGTTTGCCTCTGTAGATAAATGAGAGCTAAAGCATGGTTTCACTTTTCCAGTTTAAATACACTTCTGCAAGGCATAAGCTAAGAGAAACATGTTTACATAAATGGGTAATTTTCTTCAATTCCTGAACAACTCTCAGGTAACTTGACAGTTCAGCAACAAAACATATGAGTGAAGTCATGAACCTAAAAACCCAGATCAAACAGAAGTATGAGTAGATAGTACAGACCACAAGATTGATAATGCTGTAAGGGTTCAGATGGAAGGCCCACCCAGCCATGTCCTCCTACTATACTAGATACTGTGGAGAGGTGTAAGACTACAGCCAGTTTAGGGTGGTCCTTCCTGGAATACTCAAATGATAACAATTTGCTGCTTGAAGAACTTCTTGAATTGGAGGACCATGCCACAGCCTTCTCGCCTGTAAACATGTCAAAAATTCCCATGATCTCAGGTAAAATTTTTGCATTCACACTCACAAGTAATATCACCTGACACAGGTATCACAAAATCACAGAATTGCAGGAGTTGGAAGAGACCTCAAGAGATCGCTTAGTCCAACCCCCCTGCTGAAGCAGGTTCCCTACAGGTCATACAAATAGGCCTCCAGACAAGCCTTGAATATCTACACAGAAGAAGAACCTGCAACCTTTTTGAGCAACCTATTCCTATGTTCACAATTTTAGGCCATTACTCCTTGTCCTAATGCTACACACCATTAAGGAGAACCTGGCCTCATCCATTTGTCTCCTACTTCCCTTCAGATATTAACATTAATCAGATCTCCTCTCAGTCTTCTCCTTCCCAGGCTGAATGAACCTGGGTTACTCAGGCTTTTCACATACGGGAGATGCTCCAGGCTCTCATCTTTGTGGTCCTCTGCTGGACTTCTTCTAGGAAATCCTGTCTTTTTTGAACCGGTGAGCTCAGAACTGGTTGCAGTAGTATAAATGTGGCCTCAGCAGGTCAGAGTAGACGGGAAGGGTCACCTCCACGCTATTTCTAATGCATTCCAAGGTACTATTGGCCTTCTTGGCCACAAGGGTACACTGCTGACTCATGGCCAACCTGTTGTCCATCGGGCCCCCCAGGTCTTTCTCTACAGAGCACATTTCCAGTAGGTTATCCCCTAATATGTATTGATGCATGCAGTTATTACTCCCCAGGTGCAAGACTCTACATTTGCTTTTGTTAAACCTCAGGTGTGTCTGCCAATCTTCCCAGCTTTGTAACATCAGCAAACTTGCTGAGGGTGGATTCTATCTCTTCATCCAGGTCACTGATGATGATGCTGAACAAGACTGGACCAAGCACTGACACCTGGGAATCACTGCTAGTTACATGCCTCCAAACAGACTCTGCTCTGCTGATCACTACTCTCTGAGCTCTATTGCTCAGACAGTTCTCAATCCACCTCACTATCCACTCATCTATCCCACATTTTCTAAGTCTCATAACAAAGACGTTGTGCGAGACAGTGTCAAATTCTTTGTTGAAGTCAGGGTACACAGCATCCACTGCTCTTCTCCTATCCAGCCAGTGATGACATCTTAAAAGGCTATCAGGTTGGTCAAGCATGAATTCCCCTTGGTGAATCTATGTTGACTACTCCTGATAATCTTCTTCTCTCAATTGCTTGGAGATGGCATGCAGGACAAGTTGTTCCATTACCTTTCCAGGGATGTAGGTGAGGCTCACTGGCCTAGTTTCCCGGATCCACCTTCTTTCCCTTTTTGAAGACTGGAGCGACATTGATTATCCTTCAGTCTACAGGCACCTCTCGCATTTGCCAAGACCTTTCAAAAATGAGACAGCAGTTCAGCAGTCACCTCTGCCAGTTCTCTCAGCACATGTGGGTACATCCCATGGAAGCCCATGGATTTGTTTGTGTTGATTTTGGATAGATACTCTCTGACCAGATCCTCCTCAACCACAGGAAAGGCTACCTTTAACTTTTTCTCTTACCTCTAGGGTCTGGGATTCCTGAGTGCTAGTCTTATTATTAGAGACTGAAGCAAAAGTGGCATTCAGAATCTCTGCTATTTCAGTGTCTCCTGTTACCAAGGCACCCAACTCATTTATTAGGGGAATCACATTTTCCCTAATCTTCCTTTTATTGTTGACATACTTAAAAAAAACCCTTTTTGCTGTTCTTTACCTCCTTTGCAAGGAATAATTCCAAGAGGACCTTAGTCTTCCTTCCTTGTTGCATCCCCACAGGCCCTGACAACATTCCTATATTCTTCCCAGTTTTACAAACTCTTTTTCCACGTTTCATGGATCCTCTTCAGTATGTTCCATTATCAGTGTAGGGTTTATCTTCAAAGAAAAATTCAGAAAAAGATATCTAAGTAGTTCTCAAACTGTATAAAATAAAATAAAATGAATAAAGAAATAACAATATCTGCCTCAAAAAATATTTCTTTCAGAAAACCCCACATTTTGGATGCACTTTTTTTTTTTTTTTTTTTTTAAAATTTTTTTTTTTTTCATCAAGATAATGAAGTATTTAACTGGGTAACCATATTTGATGTACTGGCAAGAATTAGTTAACACTGCACCCACCTTTACAATTTCAAACCTTAGATAAGTTTTGATTGTATCACTTGTGTTGGAAAGATATGCCTTTCACTCTGGCTAGAAAAAAAAAAGAATTTTGTCAGTGAATAAATTACATCTCATACTGTTCATACAAAAGAATATGAAGTTCTAATTATGAATAAAACAAGTTCTTAGTAGCGTCATATTATTTTGAGGATATTAGTGGAAGTCAGAAAAGAAAACAAAGAGGAGAAAAAAGAATTGTTTTTTTTTTTTCTTACAAAAGAAAAAATTAAGGCCAGATCCTCAATTTCCAGCATGTCAAAGGGTTGCAGGAGTCAAAAACTGCCAGTGGCCTTTACCCCGTGTACACTAAAGCTCCATTGATGTATCAGCTTAATTCACCAAGGAAAAATACTACAATATGTGATAGGAAGCCCCAGGCCAAAGAATTTCTCCCATAAATGAAAAGTAGATGAGTGAGTACTTCATCTGCTAGAGCAATGAAATATCTGCTCTAAAATTCCAGAGAGAAATACTTTATTTTAGTTGTTCAAAAATCAACATTTTCTTGGCACATGAAATTGTTAAATGTTTGTATCATTGTATCAGTGTTAAATGGCAGATGAGAGAGAAATTGTGAGAGCAAGCAAAATAATCAGTGTTTTCTATTTTAAGTGTCTTCGGAGATCTTCTGTAGCAGCACTTGCAGACATTATGGACTAAAAGGAATTACCAAAGTTAAAATGTCCAGTTCTTCAGAAGTGCTGATACTTGTTATTCCTAGTGGCCTGAGTAGGAATAGCACCTTTGAACATCATGCAAGTTTTGTTTAAGTAGTTACCTTTTAGGCACTCATCTGAAGAAAAAGAGACTGGCTATTTAGTGTAACTTTTGAAAATATGTGTGACTTTCAGCACTTTTAATTCATATCTCAGAAGCATGTCTGTGCTTAGAAAAGTAGTCTGGAATCTCCCAAAATCAATCTGAAATGAAACTTCCTTAATACAGAATTTACTATAAGTGAAACAGCAGAAAAAGAAGTGCAAAGTAATTCCAGAATACCACTAGTGCATAAATAAGTATTCCTTGTAAATAAGTCATTCATTAATAGAAACAGGATATAAATAAATGAGACTTCTTTCAAATACGTAGAGTTCTTTATATGGTACATTTTAGAACATTCCACAGCATCTAAAATATATAAAAATAAATATCTACAGTATTTACAAAGTATGATACAATCCACTCTTTAAAAAGACTTGTAAAGACATGTTGCTTAGCTCGTACTGAGGTAAGTAGGTTTCCATAAGACTGAGAAGAAGTAGAAGAGGCAGTCGTTTCGCAGGAATCCTTTTGTCCAGTTGTTCCAGTCTGTAACACAGCTAAAAACAAATGCCATTCTCAGCTGTTTTGAGCCAAAGTCATCCTTGCTGCAATTCCATTGAGGTAAATTTAGTTACACTAGGGACAAATTTATCCCATTCTGCATTCTCTGTGTTGCCAGTGCATCCTGCAGAAATTCTCACTGCTTCATCTAAATTTGAAGACACGTTCACCCCTGGTATGTGGAAATGCAGTTCCATTGATTTCAAAGGGCTGAATGTAGCTGTAATACCTGTAAGATAAGAATTTTAAGATAATTTACTGCTTGCAACAGGTAGTTGGCTGGCT